CTCCATTAAAAATTTTTGACCTTTTTTTCAATTTTATTTATTTAGACATTTTTTTAAATAACCGTGAATATTTTTAGTTTTAGTTCGGGCTATAGAGAGCCATTAGGAGATAAATGCCGTTTAGTGCATGTTGATAAACTCGGCATGAGAGTATCACCCAGTTGATAAAACCTGGTTTCGAGAAAAAGGCGTTTAAAATATTTATTCGTGACGATTTACCGCTTGGCGGTCTCCGTTCTACCCCACTTCTATTCTTACTTCTCGAACTTGCAGACTACGGGACTAAATCTATATTATTTCTAAGAGTATTTTCTAGCAATTTACAGGAAAAAAAGCGTTAGGTCCACAAGTTGATATACATAAGTCGCCTGGTAAATAACAGATAGGTTTTCGCCAAAACATACAAATATACGGACTCTTCGATTAACCCTCGTGCATATATGTAGGTATGTATGTAGATATGCACACACCCGTAGATGAATTTATACACAACAACTTTATCTACCTGTGTAACACGCTGACACAATGACATGTCACCGCTGACGTGCTACTGAACCGGCTGTTGGTTGGCTGTTGAACCGGAAGTTGTTGCGTGCCGCGCATATACAATGAGTTTTCTATGCAACAGCCCCACAGCACTGCACACCTCCTGTATCCACAACGCTTTATATTCGCTTTGATTGCATTGTAAATTCTCTTTCACTTCTTGCACCTGCCTTAAACCTCCTTTTGCTGGCCTGCCACTACCCTCGTCGATTGAAGTGCACTCTGCTGCATTGTATTTGGAAATCCGCTAGCTTTCATCTATTTCTGCTGCTTTTTTTTTCTTCTTCTAATTTTCCAGCTTGCTTTGGTGTAGTACCTATCCTACCTACCTGCCTACGAGTATGTGTGGTGAGTGCTCTCGTATCGTTAACTCAACTCATTGCGGTGAATTGGAGCAGAAATACATGGAAGTCACTTCGTTGGGGACTTTTGATCTGTTGTTCGAGCGGATGCAAATTAAACGTTGTGCTTGGGAGCGTGCGCGCTTATTAAGCTTAAATTGTTCTCGTTATTGTTGTTGTTTTTGAAGGCTTACACAGTTTTGAAAAACTGAAATATGTACATATGTCTGAAGTGATTGTCATGCTATGTAATGTGTAATTCGAAAGCTTTTAATGTTTTTTAGAGATTAAACTTTAAAGAAGAGTGTATAATTTATTATGTGAGAACAACTTACCCCATTAAAATAGTTTTTTACAGTTCTTTTTTAAACATATGTATAGGGTAATTTATTTTCTATTAAAAAAATTTCTTGTATTTTTTTAAAAATATTTTTTTATTAGAAAAAAAAAATAATAGTAAAATATTAACACACAAATTTTTGCATGTTGGTCTGTGTCAGGTGTGGGGTTCGAACCCACGCTCCCTCTCGGGAACCAGAGCTTAAATCTGGCGCCTTAGACCGCTCGGCCAACCTGACTTGTATCGAACATCGTGCGTAAAACGCTTTATCAGTAGTAACACTTCGCTAATTGGATTCGAAATCGTGTTAAATTTAAAAAAAAAATCATGCATTAAGCTATCTTCATATGTGTACAGAGGTCAAAATAATTATTTGGAAGTTACTGCAATATACATATGTATTAACATATATATATTAACATAAAACTGAATTGAATTGAAAAATTTAAAGAGTTAGCACTATCATATGCATATTCTTATACTAGTCTTATGTGCAGACATCTGTAGATAAAAACCATTCTACAATAACTTGGCCTAGCATAACCTTGACTTTTATAAGGTATATGATATAGATAAAAATAATTTTTAATAATTTTTATACTTAAAAAGCGTTTTCTTTTTTGTATATTTTTGTATAAAAATTTTCTTAATTAAAAATTAAACCAATTCGTGTTTGGGAATTGCAGGCCAAAAAAAAGTCAGTTATCGTACGATAATAACGCCCCTACAGTGACAGTCTCGCCATTGAGGACTTCAAAGAAGTAAGTTCCCATCACTCTTATGGGCTAAAAAGCGCCTTGGCCTTTTTTTTTAATTATTTGAGGATTTTCGTCGTTTTTTCGAAAATTTTGTTCGAAAAATCGCCGAAATATGGGCTTTTTTGAATTACTTTTATTGTAATAGGATTAAACAATTTCAATGGGCTGTGCAATCGATTTTCATAAATGCCTGATTTTAAATTAAAACATGTTTTTTTACTATTAAGCTTTACAGTTGTCAAAATATAACACCGTTCTTTTGGAATCATACGCTCAGCAGCATCTGATTTGTTGTCGATTTGGGATTTGAAGTCGTTTAATGAGGATCATCGGCCGTTTATCATGATTTTTTTCGATGTATATTTTCAAAATTAAAAAATTACTCAACACCCTTGATGGCTTTTTTTTTAAATGATTCTATAGGGTCACGTGTGGGTTACCAAATACCTCCACTAGCTCTTTATAGCGAGACTTTTTTTAATTATCATTATATTATATTATATAAAATAATAATTATTTTACCACTTTTTTTACTTTTATGAGCGATTAAATGGCAGGGATTAATAAATTAACAAATTCAACTATTTTTGTTAGATTTTTTATGTTTGAGCCATTTACTGTTAATTTATCGTTTTATGACTGAAAAAAAACATTTTTGTGTTATAGAAAAAAGAAATCTTATTCTTCTAGTTTATTAACTTTTAACCGTGTATAACTTGTTAAAGTGTACATATATGTTTGTTGGCATCCCTGCTTGCTATAAGCATAGAGTGAACATTACAGATTCTCTATTTTAAAGTTCGAAAACAGCATAATCCTAGAAAAAAAAAATTTTTTTTGAAAAAAATTTCAGTTCAGGTTTTACATAGTATTTGTACATAGATACATATTACATATGTATTTTACTGTTTCGTCGCTTTCCTAAAGTCAATGTCCTTCCCTTATACTTACCAATACACTTAAGCCTAGTTTTGTTTTTAATTTTTTATTTATTTTTTTTTTTTATTTATTTTCTTATTTTTATTTATTAAAATATTGCACAGAGTTCCGTTTTGCAATTAATCTGTGTCAGGTGTGGGGTTCGAACCCACGCTCCCTCTCGGGAACCAGAGCTTAAATCTGGCGCCTTAGACCGCTCGGCCAACCTGACTTGTATTTAACAATGCGCACGAAATGCTTTTTGTGCGTAGAAACAAAAATTTATCATTTAAGGCTTTCGAAAATTAGTCACTCAAATATGAATAATTTGTCATATGTATGTAAATACATTAGGGTTAGTCAAAAACTAATATACCATAGTCTTTTGCTCTACGTAAATTCGTTATGTTAAATATTTTACCTTAAACGTTTCAAAAGTTATGATAATTTTAATGAAAAAAGTTTATTTTTGTAGCTTTTTTATATGGAAAACTTTGTAGAGATATTATTTTCTCAGTAAATATGTTAATTTTAACACTGAAATTCGATGCGTTTGATTTTGGCTCACCTTAATGTACATGTATATACATATGTATATCATAGGGAGTTTCCTCGCAGTAATAATTTCTTCCTAATGTCGTTGAATGCTCTCAAAACCCTTGCCTTATTATAGCAAAACAAACCTTATAGGTTATGTGGCCACATATTACTTAACATATCTCCGCTACGAAGAGCTTTAGCCTGTACACCGCTAAATTGAAAGAGATTTGAGGAAAATTTTCGAAAAATCATAAAAACACCATTTCTCTCTCTCACTGTGGTCTAAGACATTCGAAACAACTGGTTTCCAAACTTCTCCTCAAATGACCTCGTTTCATAATACTGAATTTTAAAATCACAAAGTACATACTAATCCAGACAATTTTTGAAAATCCCGGTAACCAAATGGGGAAAATAAGTTACTGTTCGTTTTTTGTTGTTGTTGTAACCGCAAAATATTCCACAAAGTACTTTTTGGGGAATGTTGCGGGAGTAACAGTCCTTGACCGCATAAAAATCCGGGTCGTTCCGGTACAAAGATCCAACCGTCGTTCGTTTGTCCTTTGTGACGGTTACGAGCCTTCGATCAAAACAGGTTTCGCTTGGCATTGCTATAATTAATCCGCTTTTCATCACCAGTCACCATTCGCTTCAGTAATGGCTTGATCATGTTTCGATTCAGATTTGGAAACTCTGAATATGAGGTTTTTTCTCGTTAACTCATATGACATCCATACATCGAACTGCTTTGTGTATCCAACCACTTTCCAAATTATTTTTAAAGCATTGTTTCGCTCCTAAAGAATGGAAACAGTACTCTCGTGACGGGAGACTCGTCGATTTCCATTATTTTTATCGATATTTCCGATAATTGACCGATATTTGTAGAAGTTCAGAGAAAGCCTAAACGGTTAGGGACCAGGTACTGACTTATTCGTAAAACTCGTCTATACTCGTATGCTTCGATTTACTTGAAATGCGATACATGGGTGGATTTTAGCTCAGGCTTGACAGGAAGTAGTCTATTCATATTGACGTTTATGTAAAAGACTTTAGGCTGAGAATAAGCGACGCAAAACACAAATAACGTAGTTAGATACTAATAATAATAATAATATTTTGTGTTAGTTAATGTTTTTTTATCATTCCTTGCAAAACCAATCAGAATAAAAACTAAAAAAAAACCTGAAAGCTACAACAGCCGAGTTACCGAGTCTGCTAGTTTAAATAATTTGCACTCCAAACCGATTTACGTAGTTTCCAGCACAACATATGTATAGCCTTGGATCTTCTCATCTCGCCCTTCGGTAGAATATCCATCATCTATAAGCATACATACACCTAGCCTCATTTGCAACGTCACCATGACCACCATCCACTGATTCTGCGCTTTACAAAGCATACATATCTGTATGCAAAAGCTTCCTCCAGCACACGAGACAATGAGATGACAATAACACGACGAGTGCGAGGTCATTATATCGTAAACGATATTACGACTATGCACACGTCTAACAAGTACAATTCTCCATTTACTTGGACTGCATGCAGTACGTTTCCAGTTTTCGTTAGGGACGGACATAATAGAGCACACCGTCATTGAATTGATTGAATTGAAACAAAAAAAAAATCACATCCGTGCATTTAATGGCTCGGCCTGAGAATCGGTGTCAGTGCAATTCGTGACGTCGACAAGCGTATAGGTAAAAAAAACGCGACTGGTGAAAACGAGCGCCGAATAAACTCGAAGTATAAAAACAAACAGTGAACTCTGAACTGAGTCGAAAGTATTTAACTCGGTTACTGGGTGAAATAAAGGCAAACATATAATATAAGTAAATATGCGCAATTGCTATGCTTGTTGTTGGTGGTGTAGGGAGTATGGTAGCAGCTCCAGCTGCACCTAACCAGCCTAGTTGGCAAGCGTTACTTGGATTTGCTGGCTTGTGCTACGCCACACCGCAGTGGCCAAGCAGCAGCAGCAGCAGCAGCAGCAGTGAGCCCAAAAAGGAATTCGGGCACGGCAATGCTTTCATGTCACTTTCGCATCAGTAAATTTGTGTTGTTGTTGCAGTTGCAAGTGGTTTACTACGAGTAAGCAAATAAAGGCGTTGATTTCTGGAATAATAAAAATGTGCATTTGTGTACGTGCGTGTGTATGTGTGTATGTGCGCATATAGATATTTCGTGCCATATGCCAATTTTTCGGGTTGTATTCCAAATTGCAGGGTTTTTGTTATTATATATTTATTTTTTAAATAATTTTTTTGTTTTTTTTGCTGCAATGAAAATGAAATGAAATGCGAAACATGAAATGTGCCAAATATAAACATCGACCAAACCAATTCGCGATTTTTGTTGCAATTTCCAGACATTTTACGTGCTTTCATTAATCCACCAAAGTAGCTGTTGTCGAGTGATAATAATGATAATTTGCACAAACATACATACATATACGTATGTATATATATATATATATATATATATATATATATATATATATATGTATCATATTTATTTTTTTATTTTTGTTTATTTTGTTGCTGGTAATTTTTATTGTTGCATATTGCAGTGGCTGCGCTGCGTTATTACATCGTCAAATGCGTAGCGTTGCTGTGTTACAGTACACCGTGTAGTAATGTAGGTCAGAATTGCGCTAACATAAACAATAACAAAAAAAACAACAACAACAAGTTATGAACGAAAAACAATAGCATGAAAAATTTGGCTATTATAGCCATGGCTGGGGCAGTAATCAGCCGCTGCTGCCACTGCCACAATAGCGAACTGATATAAACAGCGCACATCATTTACAGTGATTTCAAAAATACATGTAACTTGTGGAAAAATCGATAGTTTTTTATTTTCCCTTTTTTGAGCTCTTAGAAACTTCCATTGTAAATGACTAAAAATTTTTTATAAACCTTAGCTTGTTGTAAGTAGAAATTCATGCTTTATATTTTTAATCTCATAGATTTCATTAGATGTTAGGTTAGGTTAGGTTAGTGAACCTTTTCGGGGAATGATTTTGTAGCACAATTTAAACCTTTAAACACTCTGCAGTTCTTTTCAAAGCCTTTTAAAAATAATCATGAGATTTTGGCATAAAATCGAATTATCCACATTTTCCTCTGTTATCAATTTTAACCTTCTTCCCTATAAAGCCACTATTATGTCTATTATAAAATCACTTAATTAAAAGTTTTCAATCTTCATGTGACCATTACTAATGAATATGAGTATGTAAAAGTCTTATGAAAGCCTCTCATGCTGATGTGGAATCATTCGGCACCAGAAAATGATTTTTAACCTGCTGCACAGCACAGTGTTGCTGAAAAACCCGCAGCTAGTAAGGCGTTGGGGGAAAAGAGTGAACGTTTATGTTTCAACTGGACTACATTGCTTTTGACAACTTTCGACAGACCCAGAATCTATCCTGGGTGATCGTTTTTCCTCCTGTTGCCAGATCCAACCAGCCAGGGGTTTTATTCTTTAAACATGTGGTTTAAGAAAAACCAAGAGATTAGCCTTATTATAAATATGAGGCTTTTATATTATATTTTAAAAATGATTTCGGGCCCCATTCAGTTCTTGCACGAGTGGGATTTTGTAAGTCCGAAAACAAAAATCCTTCTGCAAAATCTACTGCAAAGTCTTCGGGTCTTTTTCGGTGCTTTGCTGCACAGAAGCAACAGCGTCTTCGGTGTCCTAATGAATTTTTCCGCAAATTCAGCTGAAATGCGTCAATCAGTTTTTGTGTTCAAAGGTTTTTACACCCAAAAGTAAGAAACCCAATCATTTTAGTAGGGTGCAGAACTCTGACACAGTTATCTGTGATTTTTAGAAGATTTCTTAATGGTACTACCTTTCATAAAACTTAAATATTAATTGATGGTCTACTCAAAATATATTTTCAGACCTTAATTATGCTTCTTCGAATTCGTTACATCCTTCTTTCGTACTAGTACAAGTTTAGCGACGGTTCTACATAACCAGCGCGATCTCTGAAATTTTTGCCCAAGGGAACGAAGAGAAGCGGAGTATTGAATTTTCGTTTTACTCGTGAAGATGTGGAGAGCTACGCTTTGCTTACTTAAGTAGGCACTTACCATATGAATATAACTAAGTCATTGCTTGCCAGACACCTTTTTTCTTCTTATGCTTCCAGTAGTGCGTACTACATTGATTGAATACTTTCAAAATTGGAACGTTTTCGTCCATAGGGACGTCAAGATCTAGCCAGCGTAGCTGAACTATATGCATCGTCCGTGCTTCCGAGCAATACAGTAGGACGAAAGTGATGAGAGACTTGTAGAAGAGCTTGCTCTTTGTTCGTCGGGCGCAGATTTTACTTTTCAGTTGCCTACACATACCAAAGTAAAAGCTGTTGCCGAAAGTGATTCCGCTAAGGATCTTGACGCTGACATTTTTGTAGATGTTGATGCTGCTTACAAGCTATGTGAGCTTATCTGTAACTTCTTACAAATTTTGGCCTCTCCCCAGTGATATTTCTTCATGCTTTCGTTTCGGGTTAGCCATGCGATTAAGTTTCAATTTCATTAAGCGGAATCTGTTTTTTTTTACTTACTATACCCTACTAGAACACTCAAAAATAGCGGGGTGCTCCGCCAAATTTATTACCCTTTGAAACTGCCTTGGGCACGCTTTGAACTTAAAATATAATATAATTGGCGCTTTGTGACCGCTGAAACGATTTTTCGGCCGAACACCTCCTCCACTTTGTGGTTTTGCGTCTTGATATTTTTCCAACAAATGGAGTGACCTACAGTTTATACTAAGCGGCCTCCGAACGGTTGATGGTTTTTTTACGAGGAGCTTTTATTTCACGTCCGAAATACACTCGGAGGGGTGGACATTCCCTGCCGAGGGGCGAGTTAGAAAATTTAACTTTTTCTATTTAAATCAATTTTCCATGATTTTTTTTCTTTTTTCATGTTGGTGGCACCGGAACTTGAATCCGAGCCTTCCGAATGTTAGTACGTAATGCTAACCACTGTGCTTTATACTAAAAGTGGAAACTATGCTAAAGATTTATTGGGCTTATAGCTGAACAAAATCCGAGGTACACTTACAGGCTCTCAAATCTCAGTTTGATGTTCTCTTAGCAGAAACTAGACCTTTTAGAGGGGAAAAGTTTGTAGGTTGGAAAGTTATAAGTTGGTTGATGATTTGCATCATTTATTTGCTGCATTAAATCGGTCGCAATAGTCGAGCGTTTAACAGTATGTGCTACCATTCGGAAGGTGCTGAGTTCGAGTACTGGTTCAACCACTAACTTTATATAAAATTCATTTCCCCAATAGCAATCGTCACTTGGCGGGGAATATTAACCCCTCCGAGTGAAACAAAAGCTTCTCATTAAAAACCCATCGGCTCTTCGGAGGCGAAAAACATCGAGGAGCGCGGCCGAAAACCGCTTCCGCGGTCACGAAGCGCTATGTATGTATGCATGAATACTATTCTACTGAATATTCATAGTAAGAATCACACTGTGCAACCAATTTGCAACAACACTTAATAAACACAACAATTCACAGTATGCATATACATATGTACGTCGTTAAAGCTAAGCTCAGCAAGCTGAGGCAGGCAGAGGTAACCAGTTGAATGAGTAAATTTTTGCAAAATTGTGCAACAACGCAAACCGTCTGATGATTGTTTCTTCTCAACGATTGTTGTTATTTTTTAAGCGCTACTCTATGCGAAAAAGTTCATATATATGCATACATGCATATAAAATAATTGCAATTGTGTGTGTATGTGTGTATGTGTGTATTCGCGTGTGGCTTCTCATCACACGATATTACGAACAAAATGGACCGTTTAAATTAATTTGAAAAAAAAGAAAATGAGGAAATTGAAATTACAGAAAAATTAATAAATTGCAAAATCAACAACAAAAACAACAGCAGCAGCAACTGCGACAACAATGCCGGGCAACTACTATCTGAGTGAAAGTGAAAATTGTTAAGAAAGAAACTAACTTTTAAGCGACTTTGCAACATTTCAAACAAGACATACATGCATATGTGTAACATATATATACATATGTATGTATGTAAATATTTGTTTGAATTTTTGTGATTTTTTTTTTTTTAATTTAAAATTTTTTTTTGTTTAGCTGTGTGTGAATAAACTTAATATCAGTTTCATTTACTTCCATTTATTTTGCAACAGGAAGGCCAATCAACGCATTAAACGCATTAAAATCATAAATTAATAATAACGACCTTTTAATTTTACGGGTAATACATATTATATAAAAAATGCAGGCATATGTGAACTTGCCACACAACCAGTGATTACTGGGAAATTTTACAAAAATATCTACAATACCTGCCGAGCGGAAATTGTTGAAGTTGTCACATTCGTGTGTTTTTCTACGATTTTATTTTATTTAATTTTTCTCTGTATGTATATATATATCAGTGTGTGAACTCAAGCTTTTTCCAGCGTTGAAAACTTTTTCAAAAAGAGCACGAACCCCTACACATTGTTGTTGCAACAATAAATATATGCCTTTATTATACGTGTGGCAATTCGTGTATCTATTGCCTACTGCCTATGCAAATTTAATAGATACGAATAATTAAATTATTTCGATTTTCCTGCTCTCCCTACCACTTTTTCACCAAATAACGAACACGAGTGGTGAGTGAAAAAAAAAGAAATTAAAATAACACCTCCGTAGAACCTTCGTGGAACTTTGTATTTGCATATATAATATATAGAGATATACATATGCACATATATGTATATATGTATCTGTGTTTATTTTGTGGCACCCATTGCTAGCGATCTTCGCTTACCGAGCAACTGACTGTCTACTCGTCATTCATTGCTACTATCATTTAATTTGTAATTTATTTGCGTCGCAATGGATTTCTACACAAAAGCTGAGCGTCACAGCAGCAGCAGCAGTAATAACAATAACAACGATGTTGGTAAGTGTGTTAATCACTTTGTGTGTGTATATATTTTCCTTAATCTCATTTGCTTTTAATTTGTTTCATTTAAACAACGGTGCAATTAATTTATGGCGGTACGTAGTCTGCATTTGTTAATTTTTTTTTTTTTTTTAGACAAACAAATTCGTTGGAAAAATTGTAGATATTGCAAACATTTATTGTGAAATTTTGAACTCCGCGAAATCGATTGCTTATCAGTCAAGAATAAATCAAAAATTTGATAAACACAAAATTTGAACCTTAAAAAAAGGTAGACGGTCAAAAATAGAAAATAAAGAAAAAAAAGTGAGAGTTTTTTTCCCTACACGTTCTCTATATAAGAGTCGCCTTTTATATTTCGAAATTAGAAAACAAAAATAAATAATAATCATCCATAATCGCTTTAATGTGGTTTTTCAAAATATTCTCCATTAAGATCTATACACTTTAGCGTGGGTTTGAACCAATTATCGCAACACTTTAGCTAACCTGTTTGAGGTATCTACCAAAAATGTGTTCCTGAACGCATCAAGCGCCTCTTTAGAGGCCGAAAAACATTGACTTTTCAGTTTATTTTCTTACTTACGGCAGTAAAAAAGACGTCATTCAGTGCCAACTCTGGAATCACCAAATCGATGTTTTGAGTGCTCAGAAATGCAGTTGTATCAGTCGATTTATGAGAGCTCATATTGCCTTGTTGAAGAGTGATCCGTCTTCGACTATCGGTTTTCCAGATTTCTTGATAGACAACTAGTAAACAAGTGGTTGTATATCATTCATACCGACCGCTATTGACGTTCGTGAACAGACGCGTAAATCCGTGATTCATCAGTTGTCACGATGTCCTAGCCGTGTTTCGAAGGATCGCTACCGTAATGTTATACAATTTCCCTTGGTCAATCGACAGTCACAAGGTCCTTAGAGTAAAATTTCCATGCAATATTGAATATAAACTAGTCCCACTCATGCCTACAGTTGGCTCAATCTCATGATAGGTCGGTCACATGACGATCTTGAATGCAATGCCTTTATATATTATATATAATTGGCGCTTTGTAACCGCTGAAGAGATTTTCGGCCGAGCTTTTCCTACAATTTGTGGTTTTTCGTCTTGAAGTTTTTCCAACAAATGGAGGGATTCATGTCCGGAATACACTCTGAGGGGTGAACATTTTTTTGATTTCTTTTCAAAATGGCTTTCTACGGTCGCTTTCGTCTGACAAAATTCGTCGCCGTAACCCCTTTTTTAAATTTGAAAAAAAGGAAGATGTCACTGTTAGCCAGGTCCGAACTGTGGGGTGGATGACCAATTTCTATAAATCCACTACCTTTTAAGATATCTCTCGCAACTCGAGCGATGTGAATGGGTGCGTTGTCTTCAAGAAAGAAACAGCGTTCCGCGCGCTAACTCCCCACGTCTGTACGATTGCCTCACGCGCCTGACTCTAGTAATTAGCGTAATATTGCTTTATTTTTGTTTCATGTGGCAATTAATCAATTAATAATATTCTCGCGTTATGCCAAAAAGTGATTGCCACAATCTTCGACGACGACTTTTCCAATTTGAATTCTGTTGGTGGACTTTCTCCTTCCTTTTATCCACCGCATTGACGCCTGTTTGAACTCGGAATCATACTGACGAATTCATGTTTCATTAAATGTTACAATGCATAGCAAATTTCATCCAAATCATCTTGCCACAACTCCAAATAATCTTTACAACTCTCCAATTTTCGCTGCCTTTCGAACGGCGTGAGTATTCGCGGTACCAATTTCTTTCATATTCAAATGTTCATGCAAAATCTCTGCAGCTTTTTCTATGCTAATTTGTAATCCTTCTGTTATCTGCCATAATTTAATTTTTCGATCAGCCAGTACTAATATTTCGACTTTCTGAACATTTTCTTCAGTCACGACCGTCACTGGGCGCCCCGGCCCATCTTTACAGGTCTCTCCTCCTAGTTGAAACAGTCGAGACCATTTTTTCACCATCGTATATGAAGGAGCAGAGTCCGGAAAAGCCGAAGGCATCTCTTTAAAAATTTCCCTCGGCATAATTCCTTCTTTCACGAAGAATTTGATAACAGCGCGGTACTCCAAACTGTGTGAGTTTCGTGTTTCCGTTGAAGTAGTGTATCTTGTTCCAGGAACGAAATGTTAATGAACCTGATAAAAAAAGGTTGTGTTATTTATACTAATATGGACTCCCGCAATTATTTTTATTATCAGTAACGAGATGATGGTCATCTCTAGCTGCTTTAGGTCACAAAAAAGTCAGCCGCATCTCGTTTATGTGAGATTTTCTAAGACCAACCTAACGGAAATATGAGAGAGTACATGTAAATAATGCTAAAAACCTAATAAAGGAACAATTTATTCACAAAAGCAATATCCTTTCTGCACAAAAATAAAGAAGAATTCAGAATTCTAATCAGTAGGTCTGTCGGTAAATAAACCAAATTATCTGACTAGCAGCAGGATTTGAGAAATTCGTCGAAAAAGAACAAATTCGTGGAAAGAAAACTCCTTTTCGCGCTTTCAAAACCAGTATTACCCTTTCGAGACCCTCGTTTTCTATCAATAGAAGAAATAAAAATTATTAAAGGATGTTTATATGAATAGATAGAGACTACTGTGAAGATTGCAACAAATTACAATTAATAATAAATGTTTTGTGTTGTATCGTCCGATTTCCGATACTTTTTTTTTGGCAAAATGAAAATAAAGAAAAAACGATCGAAAGCTCATATTATTTCTGGTCAGAAAGATGTAAGTACCAGAAGGAAAAGATATAGATTTATACCGATCGGATCAGAATGACTAGTTGAGTTGATTTAGTCAAGTCCATACTTTATACCGTGTCTTCAGACTAGAGATTTTAGATCATAAAATTGTCAACAAAGCATCTCAGGACACGAAATTTGATATATACATTCGTATCTCCAAATAAATATTGTCACCAAAAATCATCGAAATCGGAGGACTATATCATATAGCTCCCATACAACCGATTTGTTCCGTTTTTGGTCAAAAAATTCGTCTAAAAAGCATCTAAGGGCATGAAATTTGGTATTCCACACACGAGTCATCTCCAATCAATTTTTCAGATATGAGAATTAATATTTAATATTAAAATGAAATACAACAAATTTGGTCATGAAAAGTATAAAGACTTCGGTATGGAAGAAGGCTATCCTGTGTTGTTTTTAAATATGTTTCTTAATCTGTGCCCAATAGTTCAAGCCATACACATCCACGACGTTTTAGCAGCACCGCTTTGTGCTCATTCTTTTACTAAGCACTAAGCAAAATAAAAAAAAAAGAATTGAAACACTTTCAGCAAAAATTTCCAACTCGTCAGAATGCTGTTAATGTTCCTAAATCTTTTCTTTAATGCTTAATAATGTACAAAGTACTTTGGGTGCCACCCACTAAATTCTAGTACAAACATACGTACACTCGTTCATATGTATGTATATACATTCAACATATTGCCGCCTTTTAAGAAACGATGTTAAGGCTATTAATTATCATCAGAACCGCTACGACAGCCTGGCTTTGTGGGCTGAAGGTGTCAATGAATCCGCGTACGTGCGCGTGTGTGTGTGCGTGTGTAAGTGTGTTTGTGTGTGTGTGTGTGTGTGTGTGCTTAGTAAATGTGACGACAAAAGCTCACATTCACTTAGTAACTAAGTATTAAACTATGTAATGTAATGTAGAGCTATGTGCCAAGGCAAAGGTGTAACTACTGCCCACATCAGCTACTCGATAAATACATACATACATATGTATGTGCATACATAGATCTATAGTATATATGTAACTGCATGCATTTAACCAGTCAGTGAATCGAACCTGCGTGGACTCAGCTATTTGCCGCATTTAGACCTATGCCCAGAAATTTCCTCAACCGTGCATGAGCCTCTTCTTTATGTCTTCTTCTTTAATGCACCATATTTTTGCATTAGCCTTTATTCGATGTGTTGTTGTTGTTGTTGTTGTTGTTTTCGTTAGCGTAGCTAAGAATCAAGGTTGTGTAGGCGATTACTGTGCATATGCAACGAGACTGACTGGCTTAGTACTTAAAGGCGTTTGCATGAAAAAAGTTTTGCGTGTAGAGTAGAGCCCACCGCATTGGTTTGTTAATTTTCAATATAACAGAATAAATATATACACACACATATGTATTTGAGTATGTGCCTACTTACTTGCTACTAAATTTGTATGTATGTATTTACTCGCCTCTCGCGTCTATCTGTTGAAGAATGTCTGTTTTGTTGTTGCAAATATTTTACGGTTTAGTAATTATGTCACACAGGCATCAAATATCATAAGCTTAACCTTAGACGTAGTGTCATGCATCGCTAGCGGGGTTTCCTATCTGTTTCACAGCTACGATGATAACCTGTTTCGATTTGCGAATGAGAATCCTAAAAAAGTTAACGAAATATTTTGTATCTGATTAAAAGATTGATCCAAAGAACGACCACTTTCAACTGGATTCATGGAGAATATAACGAAAACTTTTTGCATCTTCAAATTGTTAGTCTTGATCGTTTATTAGTACTTTCTGAATCCTTAAAAGAGCCCGAGTGAAATGATTTCTACGATAAGTTGGTAGATCTAAGACTAAAAAGCGAAAAGTAAAGTATCTGGAGTCATTAGAAAAGGTTCCGAATACCTTCAAAAGATTATACATTTCTAATTTTTACGATATTCTGAAACGGCGGCTGCGGTAGCCGAATAGTTAGCATTGCGTACTGCCGCATTCGAAAGGCTCTGGTTCAAATTCTGGTGTCGTAATAACATACAAAAAGTTGTAGAAAATTAATTTAAATAAAAAATTTAGGTAAATTTTCTAATTGCGGTCGCCCCTCGGCAGGCAATGTCAACCCCTTCAAGTGTATTTCTGACATGAAATAAAGGCTCCTCATAAAAAAATCTATCAACCGTTCGGAGGCGGCTTAGTATAAATTGTAGGTCCTTCCATTTGTTGG